CCGTCCACTTAGGCCTAGAAGAAGATGGTATAGACTAGGTTAGATTGATAGGAACACCCATACTCTTGATTATCCCTTCATCTGTTACCAATTCTATAAGAATATCAGCGAGTGTAAACTCAAACTGATTCCTTATTTAGTTCACTCTAACAGAGTCGAACAAGTTTGGTAACAAGGCAATAATCATGTCAACTTGAAACTTAGCACCCAAGTCAGCCCTATTGATCTCCAGCTAATTTTAAATAATAAACAATCATTTTTCAAAATTCGATTTCATACTGGAGTTCCTTAGGCTATCTTGATGCTATTCAAGTTTGACATAGTACTTTGGCATACTCTCTATCTAATCTCACCAAAACATCTTATTAAATTTTAACATGATGCTTGAAGAAAATAAAATAATGTAAATGTTAGCTTTGGAGCGTATTCGAGGTAAACTCTAGAATATTGCACCAAGTCATCTCATTTGCCTTATTTCACTTATTCAAAGCATTAATGTTCTCTTGGGTATCTTAAAGTAAAAGGATTAGGTTTAGAAGTAGTAAATACATTTGTACCCTTACGTTGTGAATAAAATATCTAAGTTAATTTCTCAGTCAATATTAATGAGGTCCAGTTATATTGAATATGTAAGCAAGTAGACAAATTGATTAGACATAATTCATCTGAATATAAATGCATTCATACGATATACAAGGTGAATTATTAATATTATCATGCATATTTAAAATTAAAATGAGCTTGTTAACCACATAATACAATAAATCTCAATCGAACAAGAGATCATTATCATTATTGGTGAACAATCCCTTTTAATTAATGCGGGTCCCTCAACTCTGTAGCATAATAAATCAACCAATCAATATGTCAATAACTTATCCTGTTGGAGGAGTTCATTATTACTATTATTGAGATTCATTTGCTATTAGGCGAGCACTTCCATTAAAATAATATGTGGGTCCCTTAACCACTGCATGAAAAATCGGATAACCAATACACCAATAACTTATTCGGTTGGCGAAGTTCATTATTGCTATTGACGGGCAAATCCCATCATCTCCATATCTCTTAAGACAATGCCTTGTCTATCTATATGAAATGATTCCCGATTATGTTTAGCCTTTCTAAAATCACCTAGTGTAGACCACTCCGTTGGGGAGCTAACACTATTGATTTTAGATTGAGTGTATAACATTATTAATGCTCTAATGAAAAATAAAACATTAAATATGTTGTCATTATAATCTAGACTCTTTAAATCATGCGTAGGGCCTTATTTTTAAAGATCTAATTACAATGAACATTTAATATTTTTATTTTCATGAGACAACCATTCTTGTAATATTAAGACTCTTCAAATCATGCGTGGGGCCTTATTTTTGAAGATCTAATTACAATGGTTTTAATAACGAAGGCCATGGGGTAATGTATAAAAATCCCCGCTCCCACTCAATTTTTAGTCATTAATAATTATGGTTTTCAATTTACATGATATAATGCATGCAAAACGTCTTGATTTTAATCCCATTAAATTTAGAAAATATTTGGACTTTAAATGATTCACTAATATTTAATTTGAAGCACACTTTAAAAATAATTTTTCGTTTCCCAATAAGTGCCCTCAAATTAATTAGTAATCTTATCCAATTAATTTTCATAATTTAATTAATGTAAATCAAGCCATTTAAATAAATATCATGGATCCAATGCATGAATAATAATTAATCAACAATTATCAATTACATGCATCACATACATCAATAAATGACAGATAAAGCAAATAAAAACGGCCAATGGAATCAGCTTTTAACATTTAATTGCTCTAAGAATTATACGGGCGTCCTCCAACGGCTTGTTAACACCTATAGGAAGCTGGTACGCGTCAGGAAAAACAAAATAGCACCCGCAGCCATTAAAACCTTGTTCCCAGCAGCCCCACGCGCCTCCCACGCGAGCCAAAGCTTCTCCACGCGCCTGCACGCACGAGAAGACCTTGGAAGCGCGTGGCACGCGCTGCCACGCGCCATGTGGGGCTTGAAATAGCAGGCGCGTGGTCCACACGCGCCTGGTTGAAAAATCCATTGTCCAGTTGCTGAACCTCCTGCTTTGGCTGGCGCGTGGTCCTCACGCGCCAGCTTGTAAGTCCTGTCCACTAACGGCGCGTGCAGCTTACGCGCACTCTCATTGGGTGTATTGATATTCCTTCCAATCCGTGTCACATGGGATTACGCCTCTCTAGTCACCGGAATATTGCCGGAAAATCGCCGAAAATTATAAAAAATTACAGAAAAATTAAATTTAGGCTCTAAAAATTCTAGAAAAATTTCTAAAAAATTCCAGAAAATTACTGAAGCCTAATTTAACCCTCTTGGACCTTCTTGAAGCTTCATAGCACCCTTTGATGAATATTACATAGCTTTAAATAAATATACAATTTGAAATACAATGGAAAAAATTAAATTACATCATTGAACTTTCAAACGGCTAAATCAAAGCCTTAATTACATTCATCCAAAGATAAAATTACATTCAATATTCCTATAAGCTTCATCCATGGCCCAAAACACATATCATCATCCATTCATAATTATACATACATCATCATGTATCAATATATATCAATACATTAATTCATACATCAACATACATCAATAAATAAATATATGCATATCAAAATTGGATCCATGAATGATGAATTTTCATAAAATCATGATCTCTAGTAATGAATCAAACCATGCTCTGATACCACTGTTGGGAAACGTGCAAGTTTTAAAAACTTTTCGAGGGATTTTCTTTCACAGATCTTGATTCATCACATAGAGACAAGTTTTATGCAAAAATAAAATATGATCTATGATTCAATTAAAAGATTGAATACTTACATCAAGGTTTGAGTAAACCTTAAATCTCTCCTCTAAAGTGAATGTTCTCACTTATTGTAGATCCCTTTTGCTAGACACCTTTTCCATGGATCTCCATCTTCTTGGTAATTGTTTTGCCTTTAGGAATCACTCATAAGCCTCCATGAATGACCTTGGAAAACTAGGCTTGTGAGAGCCTCCATTAGATGAGAACATAAACCCTAATTTTCTAGAGAGAGAAAATATTTATTCCTTTTTCCTTCTACTAAAAATCACCCCCCCAAATATACATAGACCATGTATATTTATAGGCAACATAAAAATAAAGAAAAGGAAACAACAAATCCTTCTCCATCTCTAATTCATATGTCTCAAATCTAATATGATTCCAATATCAAGTTGGGCTATGAGTGAGAATCCATTGGGCCTATTATTTTATTGGCTACAATGAATTAATAATTGGCCCGATCCATGGATCCAATTCAATTAATTCATAAATTAATTTCTACTCCACTAAAAGAAATTAATTAAACTCCAATTAAATAATAAATAACCTCTAAGTCAATATTGCACTTTGACCCCTCTATGCATAATTAGTTATCGGATAAATAAAGCCATCAATCCGACTACTTAATTAATATATCTATTTTGGTACCTCTGATTATTTCTGGCTCGATCACAATAAAACATTTGTTTGAAAAAAATAATAATTTAAATAAATAAATATATAATAAATCATTTTGTCTAAAAACACACGAAGGCCTTCGAATTTACTTTGTGATCAACCATAATCAATACAAAATAAATACAAGTAGCAATGATGCAAATATTGAAAATATAACTCTCTAACTATTAATTACATAACTACCCAAAGTGTCGGTCTAAGGATCCCGAAGAATCCGCCGAACAAATCAAAGTAATTATTAATTAATAAAAGAGTCTACACTTTTCTCATACTTAAGAGTCAAATGCCATGACGGTGATAGGGAGTAATTGCATACGACGGCTCTCGCAATATATCTCAACCTAACGCGGATCCAGTTCAAGTCTTAATTAATTATGAGTCCATCCATAATTACCGACTATGAACAATTTATAATTACTATTTATATATCATGCATTGATTGCCATCACATACATATATATAAATATTTCTTGTAATTACATGGACACTATCAATTTCATAGTGAGTCGAAACATAATACATTGAATTCACCAATTATATAAATCATAAATATTTCAGATATGTCAGGAACATATGTCACTATAATCCAGATGAGAATTTGCTATGCCAAGGCATATAAATCCCAACAAATAGAACTCTAGACTCTTTGTTTAGGAAAAAGATTATGTCGTTATATATATGAAGATTAGTTTTACTTATAAGGTTTGCATCGCCAATTCCGAAGTTCCAGATTATCTCAGCCTGTGAAGTAAGTTGTTTTGATTGTTCATATTTCACAGTATATATTGGATTTGGATTTGGTACTGTATAAATTAGATTTTAATATTGAAAATCTATTTATCGAATAGTTTTTTTATAAAAAAAAAAATTGTCAGTAGCAAGTTTGTTACCCTTATGATGAAAGAGATTACACCAACAACTTCATACTCGATCATAAGTTTGTAAGATTAAAAATCCCATTCAAAATTTTGCCAATTAATTGAGTATTGTAGATACGATGTAAGTTATTCTGATTATATAGATTCTTTGATTTGTTCACATTGCAGTGCTATTAAAAAAAAAAAAAAAAAAAAAAAAAAGAAGAAGAAGAAGAAGAAGACTGATGGGGTCATTGGAGGAGTCAGATTAGGCATGGCTTCCGAAGAACTTATTGGATATGATTCTGGACAATTTGGTTTCACTTTCTGAATTTGTTCGATTTGGTGCGGTTTGCAAACCATGGCAGTATGTGGCAATGGAGAACAAACTTAAATTTGTTCAAAATAAGTTTTCCAAACAAGTTCCATTCTTGATAGTGCCTTTGAAAGATAATAACGATGCCGAACGATGCAGTCTATACATCATTACTCATAATAAGCTATATGATTTTCAGTTATGGTACCTTACAAAGAGAGGATTTGTGGTTCCTCACATGTTGACTGATTGGTATAGAAAAATCCTCGAGCGTAACTCTAATGAATCCGTTCTCTGGCTCTACCATAGAGCTTCCTCTAATTGATAGTGTGGTCTCATTAAGCAAAAATGAGATTTCCTTTGAAGTTACAAAGGTTATATTGTCAGCTGACCCTGCTTCGTCTCCTAATGACTATATTGTTGCCGCCATCTATGGTATTGATTGTGACCTAGCATTTATTCGGGCAGGAGATGAAGCTTGGACTTGCATGGATAAAGAGAGATTTAGTTGCTTCAGTGATGTCATATATTATAAAGGCCAGATTTTTGCAGTTAATAGACATAGAGTCCTAATGATTGATGTTAATAGAATGGCTAGGGCTCCGCAAGTGGAGGAAAAGGAAATTGCACCGCAAATTATTCATACTGAACACATGTATCTTGTCAAATCATCTAGTGGGAAATTACTTCTTGTACAAAGGCTTTAAGAAATTGGAGACGATTCACAGCATGCAACTTCAGGGTTTAAGGTTTTCAAGATGCTCTTAGACCAATTTGAGGAGGGTTCGCATATGCTGGTTGAAGTGAAGAACTTGGGTGGAGACACCCTGTTTTTGGGAGATAATCATTCCATTTGTGTTTTAGCTTCCAAATGGCCCGGATGTGAACCTAATTCCATATACTATACTGATGATTATATTAACTGTGTATGCTATCCCCCATCTGGGCGCCATGACTTGGGTATCTTCAACATAGTGAATGAAAGTTTTGGGACGCATTACATCCTTGATCCTTTACATAACGATACGCTGCCCTCAATTTGGATTGTCCCAACCGTGTTGGGAAGTTCAGTATAGACTTAATTTGTTTCGGATGTCTTTTGGTCAATCTAATTTATTTAGTTTTTTTTTTTTTTGCTCATCATTTTTATGTGATGAAAAAATCTATTTTTATCTCTTGCTGTAGCAAATGTGAGATCACATTTGTAAGACTTAATTTGTTTAGCTTTTTATTGAGCACTCGATTAATGAGTAGTCGTGTTGATAAGTTTTTATATGTATGGCTGTTACAGTAGTTCTTTAAAGCATGTGAAGAATGCTTAGATATTCTTTATTAAAATGATTTGTCAGATTTATATACAATATATCTGTTACCAATGCATTAGTTTGTTGGTTTAAATGATTAGATATAATTTCGTGCAGACCTTAGTATTTCTGATATCATTCTGTTAATGACGAAAGCTACGGAGGCCAAAACCGAACAATGTGAATCTAGTAATCAATTTTTTTAAATAAAAAAAAAATTATTTTATTTTATTTCTTACACAAGTTTTCTCTTTCTTTAAATTAGTCCCTCACCCTTGTATGGCCTGGATCTGCTAGTAACTCTTTTCCAAAATCTTTTAGTGCACGAAAGATGGTCTTTTGCATGTGTGGTTGCTAGATTGAGTATTCCTACGGTGAGAATTTTCATCGGGCGACACTGTAAATCTCTTAGAATGTCTATCTGATTCTATTAATGACGAAAGCTGGGTCAGAAACTCCCACCCTGTCTTGGGCCCATTATCAGATTCACTGGACTATTATTGATTGTCCAAAGGATTGGCCCATGTTTGCTTCGGTGGGCTCTATGTAAAACCCAACGAAATCTCTTATTTTGTCTTTTAGTTTTCAGGCCCACGTTCTTCAGAAACTCAGGACAAATCTTCAATTTAGAATTAGAATACGAAAAAATTTAATTCAAAAATTTAATTAAATTTTTTTTTTTTAATAGAATTATAAGCCACTAATTTGATCTTTCCAAACGCAACTTTGTTGTGGAAAGCCACAAACTACTTATCACTGTGTCAAAAAAACTAAGAAAAAGTTTTATTGAATACTGAAAATGTTGGTTATGGTTTGTTTAGCTAGTGCTAACTCGATATAGATGGGATGGTTCTCCAAGATTATGAAACATTGAGACCTGTGCTAACACTTTACATATATATATATATATATATATAGTGCTCGATTACCACATAAAAGTCTACCCTCACCATTTCTTTTTCAGTAACCACTATCTGTGTTTTTTGTGTTACAGTTTGAAATTTACATGAAAAATAAATAAATGGGAAGACAAAATTGAAATTCTCTTAAAGCTCATCATGCAAAATGTTACAGTTTCGTCGGGTAAATCTGTTTAAGGATTTTGTAAAGTGGAATGGCATTTGGATGCAAATGTGCTCAACGTCTACATGAACATGCTTCTTCAATGGGCGCAGCTTGATCTCATAGAGCTTCGGCCATAGTTTTCCGGTCACTGCACACAAAATGTAACACCAGGTTTTTTGATGGTGAAAACTCTCTAGGTAACTAGTGAAAAGGGCCAGAAATCAATTTTATCAATTTCCTAATATAGCTATAACATAATAAATAATTAAAATAAAACAAATTAATCTAAGAAAGATCCTTGGCCCGTGCACCGGACTTTGTTTTTCCTTGAAGGGCAACCGAGAATGTGGATATACTTCTACAAGTCACCAAGAGGAGGTCAATGAAACATAAAAGGAGCAATCCCGGTGCAAAAGGCTTCCGCCATTATAATTGTACACATGACAAATGTATGCAAACTTACCATTAATTTGCTGGTTTAGACTATTAGATCTAATGCTTCCGCCATTATAATTGTACACATGACAAATGTATGCAAACTTACCATTAATTTGCTGGTTTAGACGATTAGATCTAATTTCGTGCAGACCTTGGTATTTCTGATATCATTTAAATGACGAAAGCTGCATAGGCCAAAAATTGATTACACATGTTTAGTAATCAATTTTAAAAATATATATATATATATATATATATATATATATTTTATTTTATTTCTTACACGTGTTTTCTCTTTCTTTAAATTAGTCCCTCATCCCTTGTATGGCCTGGATCGGCTAGTAAATCTTTTCCAAAAACCTTTTAGTGCATGAAAGATGGTATTGTGCGGGTGTGGTTGCTCGATTGAGTATTCCTGCAGTGAGAATTTTCGTATGTTTATCAGTAATTGTTATTTTGTTTATATATATTTCCTTATTATGATATCTATCCCTATAAAACAATTTTTTGGAAATAAAACCCTATCCTTCTTGTATTAGGATTCTTGGAACCTTTCCTGATTAGGGAAGGAATATTTTTTGGGAAGGTAATATTCCTTCCCTATATATATATATATATATATATATATTTGGAATATTTTTTTGGGGAAGGTAATGATAAGGAATGAAATTATATATATATATTTGGAAAGGAATATATTTTTTGGGAAGGTAATGATAAGGAATGAAATTATAAGCAACTATACATACATATTTTGTCTGCAGATTCAACACAGCCTCATAAATCCCATTGTACTCATCCTTAATTGTGAAGTTTAAGATTAGGTAAGTTCTTTTAATTATTCATATTCCTTCTTTCATGAAATGATAATTATAACCCTAACTAAATAATTTTTACTTTTTCAATGACAAAATTGTCCTATTTTATTTATTTTCCTTATCTCTAATCTTTATTATTTTAGATCTCTACAAGACAAAAAATAATTGAATTTTTTTTTTTTTTTTTATGGGACCAAAAAATAAAAAATTTATGTTAAATAAATTGACTCTTTTGACCAGACAAATAAAATAAAAAGTAACCATTAAAAAAATTATCTCTTGACATGAAAGAAAAAACCAAGAAAAAAATATTTGTTGAAGAAATTATATTTTTTGTCACCCCCAAAGAAAAATATATATATATGAAAAGAAGAGGATTATATATATATATATATATATATATATATCTAAATTGAATAAATTATCCCTAGCCAATCAAGAACAAACACAATAAGTAACCAAAGTAAAATAAAAATAAAAACAGGATCAAAAGAGTATTAATTCCTAATTGATTTCCAAAATACGACGTTGCCAAATTCCCAGCAATGGCGCCAAAACTTAGTGTGATCGTCGTGGACCAAAACATGCAAAAGATGATGTGTAGTGTGGCCAAGTTTAAACTTAGAGATTGCTATTACCACTACTAATTAATAAATGTAGCTAGAGTGAGTAGGGATCGTCCTAAGGGAAATGTAGTGTATTTAACTTGGAAATCAATGTCGGATTAGCAGGTCGAATGATTAAAAGATAGTTTTGATTGGTTAATTAAACTACAATTTAAGCTAAGTAAATGTAATGCAAATCAATTAAAGTAAAGTGAAGTGTAGAGAATATAAGAGAAGAGTCTTGGGACTTAGAGTTCACCACTAAGCATTACTTTCCTAGACATTCAATGTTTAATAGATTAGGGGGATTATATGTTGCAATAACAGTGTGTGTCATTAATTGAATCAACAAGCATAGATGGCCAATTAAGTATACATTATCTAACCAAACTAGTGAATAGCACAATATATCAAATCAAGCTATTAGTCCTTCCCTTAAGTCCACAATTAATGCACATCATCAAATTAGAGAAATATACTACTTGTATTCATGAGCATGGAACATTAACACAACAAGCATGGATTATCCACCTATCTAAGAAAATAAGGCAACTACACTACAACTAAACTAGTGACATGAAATTAAACTAATTAAACTAAGGGTGTAGCACAATCCATCAAGAAATAAGTATGAACCATCAAATAAACCACAAGAGTAATCTATTTAAGTACCATGCCTTGATCATCACTAGATTCATAATATCAACACACATAGACATGCATCAATGTCACAAAATCTAGAAATAAACACATGAACATTCATCCTAGCATACATAGACATATGGATAGAATTAAATGATCAATCGGAAGTATTAAACTACACAAATCATTGTAGAACAAAGATTCATATATATAAGATGTCAAGACAATAATTACAACACAAATCCCCTTAAATTACAAAACATCAAAGTCTAGGTTGCATGCTTAAGGCTATCTCTAGCTCCAAGAGAATGGTTTAGCCACTCATTGATATAGTCATCCAACCCTCAAGGGCTATCTCTACGGTAGAAATGATCTTCTTCTTCTTAGTAGAAACCATAAATGAGTGGAAGAACTCTCCTAAATGGTGTGTCTCTCTCTTTAATCTCTAAACTCGTCCAACCTCTAGCTTCTATCTAATTGTATCTATTGTTGTATATCTCCTTCAAATGGCTAAAATCCTTATATAGGTAGCTCAAATGTCACACCCAATGGTCAGACCTCGTGCACTAGGACCTCTAAATGATTGCATCATGAGCACACCTTTTAATTGGCTGGAACTCTATTTTTCGCATACTTGAGGAGGTTCGATTGATCACAAAGGTGCTTTAATCAATCGAACTATGGTGGCGCCTTTTTGGAATAAAGACAAAACTGAGATATTTTCAGAGGATTTTGGGAAAAGGACAAAAGTGGTAGGTGGAGATAAGATCAAAAATATTCGATCGATCGAAGGAATGTTGGATCGATCAAAAAAGGAAATTTCTTGAGGATAAGG